AACCTTAACAAATGACTTCAGTTCCTGGTAAAAAAAAAAAAGTCTAAATAATATTTCATGAAATAAATAAATAATAAAATAAAAATATTACTAGGATAACCTGAATTATTGGGGAACAGTAAATAATATACTACTATAAGGATGGCCAATGGTTTATTAAATATGGCTGATGAACGTCTAATATACAAGAATATTTATATATTGTAATTGTAACTCAGTGAGTTCACATCTTTTCATAGACAAAGTCATATTAAAAAAGTGTTTACATACATTCTGTTTCAAGACTCAATTATAGCTTGTTTCTTAATTTACACAGATTTCAGATCAGTTCTGTGGTGTAAATAGGATGGAGAACAGGTAGCAGCCCCTAATAAAGGGCTAATAACTAAAAGCTTTATTGATCATTCTAAAGTACTTTATTGATGTCATATCCAGTATATCAGTGAGGGTCACTAAGGACAACACTTGGGTTGCCAGTTCAAGGAAAGTCCTTTTAGCTGGTGTCAGGCCATTGGGAATACCGGGAGTTTTCCCGGTCGGCCGGTACCCAAGTGGGCCGGTCGGACAATTCACTATCATCCATCATTTTGAATGTATCTACTATGCCTTGTAATCAGGGGCGGATCTACCGGGGTGGCAACTGCCACCCTAAACAATAGCCTTGCCACCCCAGCTGCCACCCCAGTTGGCATCTTTGTTTTGAAAGAAAAGTTGTGGCTCATCGGACATTTATGAGAGAAAATGTCTAATGTCCGAGTGCAAGTGAATGCAGCACAAGACGCGAGTCTTGTAACCCCTCCCCCGTCCCTGGCGCGAGAGTGGAAATATGATTGGTGGCGAATTCACTTGAATGGGGGGACGGCGCAAAACGAGAAGCCTTTTGGACTCAAGTAGACGGAAGGAATGAGGTAGTTGCGGTCTACAATGACAGAGAAGAGACTGTGAAGTTTGGCTGTACTCAGCATTGAATCAAAACGCACTAAAGCTTTGGATCTTAATACGTTTGTGAGGCGTTTTGCTGAACAAAATAGTAATCGCCGCATTCAGCTGTAATAGACATGCCAACTTGATGCTCTGCTCACGGATGACTCGATGAGCATAACAAACTGTTAAGATGATGACATTGTATGCGTGTATATATTTTTTTATTTGTGGAGGTCTGCCCCCAAAAAACTGTTTTAAGTCCTGAGAAAGTAAAATAAGACGGTGTGTAAAACTACACTGCCCAGACAAAAAAAAGTAACCACTTTGATTTAACTAGGCCAGTAGGTAAGAACTTTCCACTGGACAATAACTTACTGCAGCGATGTATATGTTTTAGCTGAATACACGTTTTTTAACCCCAACTGATGCAGTTAGTCACTTCTTTAATGTTTGTTCTTTCTGATGCAAAGTCAAGGTTGTAACTGTATATCAATAATTATATAATTACTTGTTTTTCAAATTTGAAGGAGGGTGAGCAAGCATCTTGATGAACATTCATCATTAACTCCTCTAAAAAATATAGTTTATTCAATAATAAATGAATATGTGAATCATAACAGTTCTTCACTATATCTGTAAAGCGTCTTTGAGCACCTGTAAAAGCGCTAACAAATTAAATCTATTATTATTATTTATTAACAATGATTGACAGCTGATAGGAATAATATGATTGTTAATAGTATCATATTCATTCAGACAAACATCGATGAGACAGTTAATTAATATACTTATTGGAGCAGTCTTCATAGATTTGGTACCCCTGCTGGTCTAAGAGTGAAACCAACTCATTCAGTTAAAATTCATTAAATTACGTCAGCCACCTTATATGTAAGGCTTTACTGATGTGCCACAATAATATCACCTATGTCATTGAGTTAAAATATTAATATTGTGCCTTTTTCCAAGTTAATATTGATTGTAGGGGTGTAACGGTTCACAAACATTTCGGTTCGGTACTACCTCGGTTTTTAGGTCACGGTTCGGTTCGGTACATTTTCGGTACAGCAGAAAAAATTATCACAAAACATTAAATATATATTTGTTAATTATTATTATTAAACTGTGAATAATGTATTCAAATAAATACAAAATATAATAAAATAAACATTAAGGTGCAGCATTTCGATGAACTGAAATAATCTGTATTTGAACTTTACTGCACTAGTACTCACAAAACATAAACTATTAGTTTTGGGTTTTTAATTATTATTAAACTGTGAATATTCACTCAAATAAATACAAAATATAATAAAATAAACATTAAGGTGCAGCATTTCGATTAACTGAAATAATCTGTATTTGAACTGTACTAGTACCTAAGCAGCCAGCTTGACATTAGGACTTGCTTGTCATTGTATTTTCATGTTTCTTTAAAGAGAAATGAACTTGTCCACATTGCTTGCCGAAAGGGCAGATCTGCTGGCACTAATAATGTCTCCTGCTGTGGAGAACACCCTCGCTAGGGACAGAGGTAGCAGATACAGCCAGGTAGCGCTTTGCTAACATGGCAACATAAGGATATTTGGTGTTTTTATTAGCTTTGGCTCGGTCTGAACTTTTTGCGAGTGGTGGAGGCTTAAATGCTAGTGGGAGTTGGGTTTGCACTTCAGTCTTTTTTCTTTTGGTACCGGTGATATTCACGTTTGGGTGATGCCTTTTCATATGAGTGCAAGTTTGATGTATTGCCAGCCGCGTAACCAATTTTAGTTGAACAATGCCGACAAACAGCTTTGGTTCGGTCCACCTGTCTTTGTACGTAACTGCGAAACCAAAATGTTCCCAAACCGGAGACTTCAATGATGCTGGAGGATTTTCGAGCTCAACTTTATCTGCGTTCGCCATTTCGACAGTTCCTCAAATTACTGACTACATTTGAACGCATCCCTGTGACCAGCTCTCATAGTATGCCTCTCCTACAATGAAATGACTTGGTCGCTCTATTTTACAGTGATTCTCAAAGTGTGGTCCGCGGACCACTGGTGGTCCGTGAGCGCCCCCTAGTGGTCCGTGAGTATATTGGTAAAATTTCACATTTTTAATTAATTAATTAATTAAAGTTTTCCGCACTCTCGCGGGAATATCTCCGCAATGGAGCGAGCTTAAGTTTCACTTTCGATTGCATGATATAACCCAGATAAACACCTTCATCACACATGTTACCACTTATTTGTACAATTTTCAGGCGATTTGTAAAAAACGATGTGTTTTTGGATATTTGTGGAGTTAGGTGGTCCGTGAGTGTTTTTTTATTGGTTAAGTGGTCCTTGGTATGAAAAAGTTTGAGAAACACTGCTCTATGATATATACCTGAGATTACTTCCAGAAAGTTGTTCATGTTCTCAATTTTTTACGTTTAACGCTATATTCGTTCGGTACACACGTGTACCAAACCGAAGGGCCCGTACCGAATAATTTCAGTACGGGTACGTGCAGGGCCGCCCCTCCCTACAGGCCAATCACGCAGGCTGCATGGGGCCCCGCCTTGCGCAGGGGGCCCCGCCCAGAGGGCCTCAGCTGCTGTGCGCAGTTCTCCGCTCAGTTCTCCGCGAGAGTGAGAGGTGAGACAAGGAGAGCACGTGTGTAACCCGACACCGTTGCAATGAATCGACATCTGACCAATCACGGCTTTGATACGGCCACTAGTGCAGGTGAAGAGATGTCGGTGAAAAGACAGTTTCAGTCCGGCGCAAAAAACAAAACATGAAGAAACTAGAGCATCACTCGAAGGTGGGTTATTGTATGAGTCAAATGTACAACTTACGAATGTTGTATAAGTCAAATTGCCAATTGCCATATTAAAACATCAGCTGCAATTCACGACATGAAGAAGGCAGTCTCTGCAGAGCATACAGGCTAATGGAGATGCAGTTATTTCCAGCATTCTTTATTTACCATTCATTCAAGTATGTTATGCCTTTGATCTGCTAATGTACAGGAGGAAGAGTGATAAACTGTCTGTCTAGTTGGCTTACATAACAGTTAAAGTTTACAGCCTAAAAAACATGGAGCATTTTTTTCCCCTTTTATTCATTTTTATGTCAATTTGCACATTTCATGGTGACGCTCAGCCTCTCCCCTTAAGGCAAGGCAAGTTTATTTATACAGCACCTTTCAACACAAGGCAATTCAAGGTGCTTTACAAAAATGAAAGACATTCAGACAAAGGCATTTAAAAACAGTAAAAGATAATAAAAGAAACATTAAAAGAAAAAATATATGAATAAAAAGTAAACTTTTACTCCTAGCAGTCATCATCATGGTGATGCTCAGCCTCTCCCCTTAACTCCTAACAGTCATCATCATGTCAACCACAACACAGAGAAACACTGATAGAAATGTGTGTGTAGTTGTTGATGCATTGCTGACAGAGGGAACTAGAATACAAATTTAAGAAATGTCAGTTTTTGAGCATGTCATAAGCATGTTTTGTCTTGACTATATTACAACTATATTATAATAAAACAATATATTTATATTATTGAATTGATTATGATTATTATTAGTTGAAGTAGTTTATTTGCATTAATTATATTTTAATCTTTTTGAGGCTAGTATTTGGCAGGAAATGCAAAATTCACCTGTAAACGCATACTGAACGACATACATGCACATTTACCATTTACCTCACTGTATAAAAAAGTAACTGTGTTGATAATAATAATAAACAGGAATTATATTTGCAAAGTAGCCTACTTTGTTTCCAAAAACAACTGTCGGTTGGGGGGGGGGCCTCATCTCACAATGTCGCTTGGGGCCCCAAGTTGGCCAGGGGCGGCCCTGGGTACGTGTACCGTTACACCCCTAATTGATTGATATGATTGCGATTTAAATCAGCATATACTTCTGCCAGGGGATGCCACCCCTCAAAATCTCCTGCCACCCCATGAATATTTGTCTAGATCCGCCCCTGCTTGTAATTAAGTTGTTCTCGCTTATTTTACATTTGTGAACAGCTGATACATTCCTTAAATTCCAATGAGGAAGGGAAGGAGTGGTTTGAGCTCGCGAGCTGTTAACGTTTCTGAGCCAATCACCTGAAGCGACCCAGCAGCAGCCATGTTGTAACTTTCACTGAAGTCCTTCCAGCTTTCAGAGAGGCAGCTGTCTGTAAAGTCTGGGATTCCTCCTCCTGTGTAAAAAGCAGAAGATTTACGACTTCAACACTCAAACTTGAAATGAGCGCGAGCAGCTTTCTAGTCACCGCAATGCGGAGAGGATGCACGCGGACCTTAAGACGACCTTTTCCCATGGTGAGCCTTCATCACTGTCTACACAACTAAAGTATTTGTATTAGTTTTCTATATGTGAGAAGCTCATTTACCTTTTATCTTTGCTGCCGTACTCGCATTATGCGGAGTATTTAAAAGTGCTGCGTCACTTTAGAGAAACCTACATTGTACCGGAATTTTAATGTTGTTCTATGTTACCAAAATCTTGACACACCCTCATTCGCTCACAGAAACGCCTGCTGGTACAATAGAGGAGCGCGGCAAGGCTTGTCACCTCATGAGTATGGAAGCCCATTCCCGCTTATGTGATGGGGAAAAATAACGTCAATGTAATCAGAAACTTCTAAATAATAACTTGGCATTTCAAAATAAGCTTCTCAATATGTTGAGATACTTTATTGTAAGACACGTTGTTGTTATTATTTTTGAGATACTAATTCATTATTGTAATGTTACTTATAAATGTAATATAATAAAATGTGTTTTTGTATTAATTGTCAAAATTATGTTTTTATCAGTAGCCTAGTTAAACTTGTTTATGCATCCGCGCTGGAAGTAGCCAAGGTTGCTTTATGTTTTTGGGTTTCTTTGTCTGTCCATTTGGAACAAAGGATGAACTGATTAGATTTTGGAGTGAAAGGCAGTGTTCGAATTACCCATTTGCTTTCGGGGGAGCCCTATTTTTTTGTGCACATCCTGCTACTAAATATGTCACACGCACGCTCTGTTGACTGGCGGAGCAGCGCGGATGTGATCAATTGCTATAAAAACACTCTGCTACTACTATAGACGGTATTACTGCCAAGGCACAATAACATTTCAGAGAGAATAAATAACAACATGAGGCTACTGTTTCAAAACCAATTGATAGCCATTAGCCAACATTTATTCAATTGCAACAAACAAAACAAAGCAACGACATCAGCTGCTGTTGGGGACACATGGCAGCGTTTTTCAGTGTAAAGGCTATATAACATAGGCACGGCGGCCTCAGAATTTAAATTAGTTGAACTTTTTTTCAGCTGAAGGGGAAGGAATTGGGGCTTCTTTAGGACCAGCCTGGAATAGGCCTACAGTATTGTCCCTATCGCTTCTTCCCTGTCACTCCCCTGTGGGTGGATTGCTATGGAGGGAAAACGGACGTGTGTGTGTGTGTGTGTGTGTGTGTGTGTGTGTGTGTGTGTGTGTGTGTGTGGTGTGTGTGTGTGTGTGTGTGGTGTGTGTGTGTGTGTGTGTGTGTGTGTGTGTGTGTGTGTGTGTGTGTGTGTGTGTGTGTGTGTGTGTGTGTGTGTGTGTGTGTGTGTGTGTTGTGTGTGTGTGTGTGTGTGTGTGTGTGTGTGTGTGTGTGTGTGTGTGTGTGTGTGTGTGTGTGTGTGTGTGTGTGTTGTGTGTGTGTGTGGTGTGTGTGTGGTGTGGTGTGTGTGTGTGTGTGGTGTGTGTGTGTGTGATCTGTGTGTGTGTGTGTGGTGTGTGTGTGTGTGTGTGTGTGTGTGTGTGTGGTAGTGTGTGTGTGTGTGTGTGTGTGTGTGTGTGTGTGTGTGTGTGTGTGTGTGTGTGTGTGTGTGTGTGTGTGGTGTGTGTGTGTGTGTGTGTGTGTGTGTGTGTGTGTGTGTGTTGCCTATAACCTATAACCTATAGATTGATTAGACTATACGCAAGTCAATCAGTCTGATAAAAACCTAATAAATCCCACAACCAAAAATGATATCAACAGTAGGACTGGGGCCAGTCCAAACAAACAAAAAGCTCAAACAGTAAAATATACTCTCTTACCTTACTGTAAAAGCGACTACAGGGACCTGGGCGGCTTCTTCTTCGCTTTCGGTCCCGGAACCCAGGATGTGGAGGGTTTGTGGCCAGCTTTGATCCAAGACCGTACAAATGGCTTGAGGGTCGAATTGCCTCCAGGGGGGGGGCCATTGATGTCTACGAAGAGAAGTGAGAAGAGGCTCTTCTCCCGCAACTTGTTGCGTTTGTCGGTGTCGGTCGAATTGACGGCAGAAAACCCCCTCTCACACTCAGCTGATGTAGGCAAAAAGGTCTTGCTCGCTGTCTGCAGTTTTTGCAGGGCTTTCCCTGGAGATTTATTCTCTAATTTGTAGTCCCGAAACTCCTCAATGGCCTCTCGGGCCGGTTCCCCCAGTACTTTTGCCAGTGCGCGTACTTCATTCTCCCCATAGAGGATCAGGGCGCTCCGTTGTTCGGGCCAAAAGCGCTTGTCCAGTGGTTTCAGCATGCGGACCAGGTCCGGTTCAGGCAGTCGCTTCTTCAAACTGTCTATTATAGACTGGTAAAACTGCAGACGGTTTATCTTGGGCCTGCTCTCTGAGAGCTCAACATCCTTGAACATGCCAGTAGCAATGCCTTCTTCCACTTTTTGTGTGGACTTTCCGCCACTGGTTTTCATAGCTGTCAACACATCGATGGTCTGCTGAATGTAGCAACTTGCATCTACCAAAGATGTTTCTCTGCGTTGCAGTTTTAGCGACAGGCTTTTAAGTTCTCGAAGAACATCCTTCATTGTTGCCAAATCAGCCAGAAATCCAGTGCTCATGAGGAGTTTGTGCAGTCCCCTGAATTTCTGTCTCTCTGTGTCACTGCGAGATGATGTGTCGTCTGTTGCTGTTTTGAATTGGCGTGCCAGTGCGGGATAATCTTTCCAGACAGCTTTCACAGTCTGAAAACTACTAGCCACCCAACGAATAGTGAAGATTTGGCCTATTTTCAATATTTGCACGTTTAATTCTGCTGCTGCTTCTTGGAGCAAACGGGCATTTTTTGTTGACTGGTGATAGAGAGCATATAGTTTTGCAACAAAAAACTCAAATTGATTACACCCAGCTACTTCTTTAAGGCAATCCTTGACAGCCAATTCTAGTCGGTGGGATAGACAGTGAATAGACTGCACTTTGGGGAAATCCTGTTTGAGTTTTGTCACAAGTCCCCCAACTCTGCCTGTGAGTACTGCTGCTCCATCCGTTGCTATTGAGATGAGATTTTTCCCCAAGAACTCGTCATCCAATCCAGCTTGTTTTAAGCTTTTCCTCAAACTGCTGTACAGCGAGTTAGCATCCGTACCTTCTGAAAGCTCAACAATATCCAAAAAAACATTGTCCACTTCCCCTTTTCCTGTCATGTCACATCGCACGTAAATAATCATGTAGGCCCGCCCATGAACTGTGCTCTCATCTATTGTGATACTAATTAGTGAGCCCATGTCTTTTATGTTGGAAACGAATTTAGCTCTCATTTCCTCTGCGATATGCCTGATTATTTCAGCACAGGCATGGTCCGATTTGTGCACAGTCCCTACCGTAGCACCATTGAGTTGTTGTAGGAACATTACAGCAGGTAGCTTTCTGTATGACATTTCTTCTTTGGCAATCATATACGCAGATCTGAACGATGTATATGTCTCCTGCATTAGATCAGCATTGATTGCTAATACCTTGTTTGGCAGGACATCTTTCTTTCTCATCTCCGAAATTGCGATTGCCTTTTCATGTGCCTGGCTCTTATCGTGCTTATAAATCTTTTTTCGCAGGTTATTTTGTTGATCACAGCTGACCTGTCCCTGAATCCATTCTGGTGAAAGGTGCACTCCGGTGGATTTCTCTCCGAGCGGCAAGGAGATCAATATTGTTTTTGCGTCTTTGCAAATCTCACATCCACATTTTTTATTTTTGATGAAAAGCCATGGATACTTTTCTTTCCACTCACTACATCTTTTCAGTGTCCAGTTAAAAGGCAGGCCATCATGGGCATCGTCAGCGTCAGGTTCGCTAGTGCAGGTCGAACCGGCGGCTGTGGCCGTTGTTGAAGCCTCTTCTGAAGCCTCTTCTGGCTCCGCATCGGCAGGCCTTTCCCTCTGAGTGGAACTGTCAAAATCGACCCTACAGCCGCTAACAGCTGGCGAACTAAAAGTTGTCCGGTTGACATCTTCATTTTTCGACTCCTTTGCTTCTTTAGTCGTGAAACCAAAAGCTGCGAGGCTTGGCTGTTTTCGTTTCGCCATTTTCTTTATTATTTAGTAAACAACATCAATATGAACATTTCAAATCCCGCGCCGGCGCCACCGTAACCATAGCAACGTAAGTAGCGTAAACAATGCAGCACCGTGTACAGAGCAACACACAGAAATATTCACAAATGTAAAACGAATATTCAGAAACTGTAATGAACAATGCCTATAATTTATTTCAAGAACTTTTATTTACAGAAACTCAACATTTCTAATCTGTGTGACACAAATATGCACGATTTTTTTGGGCTCCCCCTATTTATCTCAAAGTCGGCCTTCGGGGGAGCTCCCTCCCTCTTCGGGGGAGCCAAGTTCCCCCTGGCTCCCCCCCATTTCGAACACTGGTGAAAGGTCACAGTCACTGGGACCTCACATCTGTCTCGTTCTGGTGAGGCGATATCTTCAGGGAATTCCTTTGGCATTTTGGCAAAAAAAGTTTAATTGGAGTCAAGAAAAAACTGATTGGATTCTGGTGGTTAAAGGCCACTATGATCTGATATGAAAAGGATGAAGTAATAACTTTAGGACAGTGAAATGCACTTTGACTGGTTGGCAGAGGTGTAAAACCACAAGGTAGTGATATTTCAAATAAACAAACAGAAAAATGTGTGCTAACAACATGAATGTCCCTCTGTAGCGTTGATGTGATGGTTGTTGTGCAGGTCCAGAGCTGCCTGCTGTCCACCCAGCAGCCCATCTCTGCAGCCCGGCTGCCCTGCAGGGTCAAGGTGTCTGCTGGGAAGCGCTACGCCTGGTGTGCGTGTGGACACAGTAAGAAACAGGTGAGCATGTTTTGCTTTTAACTTTCGACACACCTGAGGCCTGTACTACGAAGCAGGATGTTCTCTTAGCGACTAACTTCAGGGGAAACTCGGGGTTTCCGGTCCTACGACGCTGGTTCTCTTTTTAGCAGGCTAGATCTCCATGGTAACTTATGCTGTGCGTCTAGCCTGCCCCGGAGCAGGTTAGGTTGCAGGCTAAGAGATCAACTCAGTGAAAGCACCGCCTGCTGACCAATCAGAGCTCAGTGTGCGGAGTTTAAAGCGATCAAGTCATATTACACAGTGCTTGAATTGGAATAAAAAAGATGCCAGTACTCTAAATCAGCAACTGTTTCAAGTCAATTTATTTATACAGCCCAAAAACAAGTATTTGGCTCAAAGTCATAGTATATCCTATAATGCTGGTGGGTTTGTCTCTTTACTGTATATTTTAGAAAGGCTCACTGTACTTAAACTAAATGACTCAGGGTGCATCTGAGATTAGAGGGGGTGCAGGGTTTTTTTTTTTTAAATATTGAAGTTAGATGCATCAATCTGGTGCACTTTGAGAGCAACATGAAGAGATATATGGATATAAGTCAATCCTGACTCCTACTGGCGGCTGGTTAAAAATAATCCCAATTTCCCAAATTGGGATTAATAAAGTATAGCAAAAAACGTAACATAAGCCAGTAGCCTACAATACATTTGTTATTGTGTGCTTGAGAATATAAAATCACATTAGAATAATCCAAAAGTAATAAGATAATATGCTAAACTGACTTTGCAATACTAAACACCAACCTTGCATTGGATATAATAAATACAATTGCTGAGGTCCAGATGATTGTCCGGTCTGTGTCCTCACACTGCCAGCCGGACACATTTGTCCTGTGACTTCTGCACATAAGTGTGGACTCCTTCGTAGTTTTTTTTACCCCAATTGTTTTCTTATTTGTGGCTATACGAACATAAAAGTTTTGCACTGTGATTTATTGTATTATTGCCATGTGAATTCAATACTTCACATTCAGAAACTTCCATATTCTTTTAACACAATGTTAATAGCTTTTAGGTTAATAATGTACACAAATGCTGACATTTGCCACCTGACTTTCGTATATAAGTTAGGCACTTTCATATTTATTTTAAACCAAACTTTGACTTATTTGTAGCTATACTAACTAAATCCATTTTCAGTTTATTTCACGTTTGTGAAAATGCAACACAACACAAATGTTGACTTATTTGTCATGTAACTTGGATACCTAAGCGACGCCATTTATTATTTCAACATAGACTAATTTGTCACGTGAATTGCCGAATTAAAGTTTAGTAATTTCCTTAGTTATTTTAACACAAAGTTTACTAAGGTTACTCCCGTACTTAAGTTCATTAATTTAGGTAGTTATTTTAACACAAATGTTGATTTATTTGTCACGTGACTTCCGTACACGAGTAACTTCACTTTTTGTAGTTATTTTATCCCAAACGCTCATTTATTATTTAGCTATACCAACAAAAGGTTTTGCAATGTTATTTGTACCTGTCCCACAAAATCAATTTAAGTTTATTGGACATTTTCATGAACCATGAGTAACTTGCACACTTATTGATATGAAAATGATTACACATTCTGTTTCCTCCATCCTTTTTCTCTTTCTGCCAGCCTTTCTGTGATGGCGCTCACGTTAAAAAAGCTCCGACCATCCTTCCCCTGCGCTTCACCCCCGACAAGGACCAGACGGTGATGCTGTGTGCCTGCAAGCAAACCAAAAACTCTCCGTACTGCGATGGATCTCACTTCAGGGTCATCTTCCAGGATATAGTAAAGAAGGTGAAAGGAGTCTTTAAATGAGCAGCATCCAACATGTCTGCATGGAGGAGGCCAAGGAGCAGCAACTAAACCAGAATCAAACAGATAATAGTCACTATCTAAATCTTGTCTCAACAAAAAAACAAGTCTCTGTAAAAATGTGATGTCATTGTGTCCTTTTCATACTTATTATGTCTGTATAAATAAGTGTTATTTAAAAATATGAATTTAACCCAATGTTATATACAGATGCATAACCAAATAAAACATGCTTTGATTTGCTTGTCTTCAATAGCATAGTAACAAGAAAACAGTAATTCCAATAGTAAATGACATGTATTAGTGATTTGTAGTGATGTCACGTATTGCGCCGAGGCTTCGGAGCGTGTGTCGAGTAATCTCCGAAGCTTTTTGTGAAGCATGTATCGAGGCTTGTATCGTTTTGGGCCAGTGACGTCATCGATGACAAACGAAGCCTCGCTGCCTGTCGATACCACGTGACTGCTTCACGAAGCGATTCAGATCGGTTGAACCACAACGCTCATAATACCCATGGATGTATAATAAGAACCATATTACCCCTCCTGTACCCGGGCCCGGTGACACGATGGAATCAAGAGAGCTCAGACCCTCACTTAAGGCCCTGTCACACTGTCCCGAAATTGACACCCGATGGACACACGAATATGGAATTGTGAATTTCGCACGAAGATGGCCCCGAACCACACACGAAGGCAACATTTACATTACATTTAAGACATACAACTGCAATGAAAGTACCAAAAACAATTATGTTACAGTACTATGATACTGTACTGATATATTCAGACTTTGTTCTTTACTTTATCCGTCTTTATATGTAGAAAATATTACGTTTTCTCCGTAATGTTGTTTCCATAACAACAACAACTTCCTGTCAACTGTCCTTCAAAATAATATATTATATCCTTTTTAGTTTCACAGAACACAAATTGGGTTATTTACATAATATATTTACATGATTTTGTTGTGCAATAAAACAACCCGATGGACACACGATAAAGGAAATGTTCAAATTCGGCTGTGATCGTAGCGACATCGGGCCATTCGTGAGGGCATCTTAAGCCTTCATATGACCGCCGGTGGAGTTTCTCAGGCTCCGGCAGCAACTTCGTGAGCGGTGGCAAAATCTTTGGCATGCCAAAAAATTGCCGGAGGACCTTGCGAAGGTTCATTTTCGTGTTGAATTCGTGTGTAAATGTTGCCCTTCGTAAGGCCATCGTGAGGGCATCTTGTTATCATCGGTGCCATCGGGCATTCGCCCCGATCAGAGTGAGGGTGAATGCACCGATGATAACACGAAGATGACACGATTTGACAAGATGCCCTCACGAGTGCCTTACGAAGTTGCCGCTCACGAAGTTGCTGCCGGAGCCTGAGAAACTCCACCGGCGGTCATACGATGGCTTAAGATGCCCTCACGAATGGCCCGATGTTGCTACGATCACAGCCGAATTTTAACATTTCCTTTATCGTGTGTCCATCGGGTGTCAATTTCGGGACAGTGTGACAGGGCCTTTGTAGAGGTCAGAACATGTCATAAGTATAAATAGATACAAGCATAAATAAATGTAGGAATAAAAACATGAATAAATACAGGAATAAATATGTTGCAGTGTTTTCAGGGAGCTTTAGTGTGTGTGCTGTGGCTCAGCTGGAAAGCAGTTGACTCATGACCGCAGGGTCCCTGGTTCAACGACTGGTCAATACGTCTTTTTTGTTGTTTATAAAAGCTACAGCTAAATGAGATAATGTAGTTAATAATGTATTCTTTGATATGGTTTAGCCTTTCTCAGGCTACAACATGGTTACGTTTATGAATATTATTAAGGAATACAAATCCCTCTTTGCAATGTTTACCAGCCTCCTTAGGCTTTTCAATCACAATCATTCAACTAGAATACAAACAATATTGTTAACATGAAGATATGATTTAATGTTCGTTGTTTCGAGTTATTCTAAGGCTTTACTCAATGGGAACTCGGTATGAGATGATGGAGCACACTGTTGAGATGTCCAATCTGCCTGTTTTACACACTTTGACCAACAGGGGGGTTTGTGTTCAAATGAAGCCCATGATGAAGCCTCATGAGATGAACCCTTTTGCGAACCAATTGGCTGGAAAGCTTCATAAGGCTTCATCTCGCCATCACTAGTGATTTGTGCCAACTGGATATTATATATATGGTGATTTTTATTTATTAATTTCAAAAGCCATATTGCACAATATTGAGCCGTCTGTATCTAAGTCATGTAAACGTGCTTATCCAATTATTTATCATATCCAGGGCATATTAAGGACAAAGACTCAGATTTAGATTCTAACATAGGCTAGATAAAGTCTCTTGTATTTGGCTAAATCCAAACCTAAATATTAATAGACAATCATTTATCTGGAACGCATGGTGGAAAAGTCATTCTTACATATAGACATATGTTGTTTCCACGGTGGGTTTTGATAGGGAGTTTAAGTCAGTTTTATATGTATTCAGCTGTATGTCATCTGTTTTGTGACTGATGTGAATATCGTAAAATAAAAGTCACAAATTGTAATAAAAAGTCGTATTTTGTATAGCTGTATGACCCACAGTTGTTATACATGATCGGAAATGATGTGTTTGATTGTAAAAGTGATATTACTGCATTGTCCTAATGCTCTCACATCCTGGACACTGCTACTGAAAAGGTAGTTTATCTGTCTGGTGTAACTTTCAAATGTAAACTGCTCTAAAAATTCCCAGAAATACTAGTACAAATACTCAAGAAACCTGTGTTCTCTTGGAGACTTGTGTTGTTTTTCATGGTTTTATGGATAAATATATACAGTAGGCTATTCAATCTGCGCCAGACTGATATCCGTCTCTTGATTGGTCAAACTAACAACACGTGACTCTACAGGAAGTGATTTCTCCAATCACCATGGTCAGCTCTATAAATCCATGGTTCGGCTGCTAGGCTAGGAGAGCTGTAATACCTGGCATTATTTTAGGGTTGTTTTATTTGTATTTATCTGTTAGCGTTACCTTTTCTATTTCCCACCGCTGTGCCGTAAAAGTCACATATCACGGCTGTTGTAACCTCGCGTGATTTTACCACTCGCTAGCTGAGGTGCTTTGAAGTTCCGCAGCTGTCATTGGAAACATGAACACGTTGGTGACCAAAATAGACTACAAATGGATTAGTTTAACCTTGAGGAATCCATGGATAACAGCTTCAAAGGTAAATAGATGCTAATGTTAGCCCCTATCTTTTGTTCAAATTATGATTTTGGTCTGAGTCTTTATTTATTCTGAAGTAGTTTTTTTTTTTGGATCGCTTTCGACCTACGACCTATGAGCACTTTAGAACAATTTTGAGATATTTAACTAAAAGGCATACCTTAAACTTAATTCGAACAAAGCACATTACAGATAGGAACACTGCACGTTTTTCTGATAGTCTCTTTGACCTTGCCAACACTCATAGTCATAACAGAGCATAGCCTATAGTTATTGGAGCCACCCACTGTATTACATGAAAGCCTCTGCACAGCTGTTTGTAATCAGAGCCTGATAGTGGCGAAGTCCCTCCCCTTCCGGTGGACCTCCATGGGACCCAGCGCTAGATAGATAGAATTCTATCTACACTGAACAAAAATATAAACGCAACACTTTTGTTTTTTCTCCCATTTTTCATGAGATGAACTCAAAGATCTAAAACATTTTCTATATACACAAAATAACCATTTCTCTCTAATATTGTTCACAAATCTGAAAAAATCTGTGATAGTGAGCACTTCTCCTTTGCCGAGATAATCCATCCCACCTCACAGGTGTGGCATGTCAAGATGCTGATTAGACAGCATGATTATTGCACAGGTGTCCCTTAGGCTGCCACAATAAAAGGCCACTCTGAAATGTTCAGTTTTCAGATTTGTGAACAATATTTGAGAGAAATGGTTATTTTGTGTATATAGAAAATGTTTTAGATCTTGGAGTTCATCTCATGAAAAATGGGAGCAAAAACAAAAGTGTTGCATTTATATTTTTGTTCAGTGTATGTGGCGCTGATGGGACCTTGTTTCTGAAAAATTATGTATTGAAGTCAATAGGAGAGAAAGATTATCTTTCAATTCCGTTTGAATTGTGCCACGAATTACACATATGATGTTTTTCAATTTAAAAATAAAAATGTGTCGTAAAACTGTGAAGTAACCCATTATTTTGTGTGAAACCGCTCAATGAACTACATCTCCCGTCTCGCACCACACAGCAAGACGGCCGTCACGTTGGAACATTTCACCTCTTTCTTTCAGAATGAGGCGAAAAGTATTACAAGACAACAATTGATGAATACGCCCGAGTGTCCACAGGACTTTGTTAAAATACTTCCTAAAGAGTCTGCAGTGCACACCCACAGGTGTTTCCACCTAGTTTAGAAGTTGTCCATGAACCAAACATATTATTAACGTTTTAGTATTCCACTTGTATCCGGTGTAAAACAACTGAGTTAGGGAGATGTCAGTTAAACCCAGCCAGTTCAGACCAGAGAGCCCTGAAAAGATGTATTTAGGTATTTCAAAATGAATTACTCAAACCATTTCCAGAGTACTAATTTGTTTTACTAAATGTTTATACCTACGTATGTGTGTACTTTTTAATCATGCACATTGACTTTACCATGAAATACAAACAAAACCTTGTAAATAAACGATGTAAAATAATATTTAATGTATTATTGGTTAAATTCACATTTAGTCAGTATATCAACATATCACAATTGTAATCTCTAAAATGAGAATCAGGACCCCTCATCTTCAGCATGTGAACCTTACAGTTATCCCACTTATCTCTAATGTGCTTCTCTTCTCTCCACAGCTGTCCACCCTCCCTCCAGAGCCCGTCATCCCCTCTAAGAAGCCTCTCAGAGTGGAGCTGCTGGGTGGAAAGCGTTACTCATGGTGCACCTGTGGACACAGCAAGAAGCAGGTTTGTTCCTCCTTTGCCTTCATCTTCAGTGACCCCTGTCTGAAGCACACCTCCCACATGTTTCCTCACCACTTCTTTATCTTTCAGCCTTTCTGCGATGGAGCCCACAAATTCAAAGCCCAAGGCCTGTCCCCGCTGCGCTTTTCCCCGGAGAAAGACAGCACAGTTTGGTTGTGTGGCTGCAAGCACACCAACAACCCGCCGTACTGTGACGGCACACACAAGCAGGACTTCATCGTTTCTGCCCCGCTTCATGAACACACAGACCCCTGAACATAATGGAAGGGATGAACTGAGCATTTTTGTGAATAAGTGCATTCTGTGAAAGCAGCACACATAAAGTGATCCATCATGACAAGTACTGGAACCTTGTGTCAGTATTTAAGTTAGCGAGAAGATGAAAGTTACCACCTCAGCCCTCAACTCAGTGTCCTTCCTTTTTTGTACATGGGAGACACAATGTTGCATCTGTGCTCTTTGATCAGACCTGTGACATAACAAAGGTTTGTGTACTGGGAGGGAGCGAGGTCTGACCCTGCTGCTTCAGAGGCTGCTAAAAGGTTTGAATGGGATGTATTATTATGGCTGAAAGTGTTTTACAGGAGAAAAGTGATGTTAGTTCATAAAGCAATGTTCCATCCCATAGCTCAGAACTACAACACAGTATCAATCTGTCAGTCTGGGCCAAGATGTAAGCTTATATCAAATGACTTATTGTCCTCCCTTTTGGGATGCCTATTTATATATTTTTGTTCATTTAGATTAAGAAATAAAAAAGCGTTGCATTAAACTTGAGCGAATTGGTGATTATAATGTGATAATCAAATAAAGGAAAACAAATGTAAGCGTGTTGCTCTGTACGTTATAATGTGAACCTGATAGTGACGCTCTGCTCTGGCAGTCATCTTATATTGTACTTCTATTTTCCTTAAAGACGAGACCTGCTGAATGCATGACTCAGACACAGGAAATCCTTTTGCTGATAACAATATATTTATATATGGCAGTGGTTGCCAACATAGCAGTTGAGCCCTATGAAGGTTTGTATCATAATCTAACATTAACAATAACAAAGACGTTACATTTCTCAGCCTCTAATGAAGTCCTAGCTTTATATAAGCTTTATCTATAAAGAACACAATTAGAAATTTCTCATGAGTTTTTATACTTCAATGCTGCAACTTTTATTTAAGTAAATACTTGCTGTACTGCTTCCACATCTGGCAATATGAATCCCAATGATATTTACTTTATCATTACTGGTTGGCTCTATGTTGGTTTTATTTTTGAAATGTACACATTTAAAAGGATGATCACATCGATACATCACCTGTTCTCAGTTCATTATGAATAATATGGGGGGGGAGTATTCAGATTCTTTAGTAAAAGTATTAATACCACACTGTAAAAATGTTACTGAAGTAAAAGTATTTAAGTACGATTAGGAAAATGTACTTGGAGTAATAGTACTCATTGCAGAATCTTTTTATTTTTATAAAACATATATATGCAAAAGCATAACATCTTCACATTTAAGAAGCTGGAACTAAAATGAAATCCAATTTATTTTCTTTTAACCCATTCATGGATTTAGTTACTTAAATATGTGAGATGGTTTAATTTAAATCAAATCATATTTTTTAAGTTGTTCCTAAGTACTGGTGTCAAAATCTGAATTTATAAAGTTACTAGTATTTACTAGTAGCTTTATAAATGCTATAAATGATGTATTTACATCTGTCAAAATAAAAAATAGTGGAGTAAAAAGTACAACATTTGCTTCCAAAATGTAGTTGAGTAGAAGTATAAAACAAAAACACTTGGGTTAAGTACAAGTACCCCAAATGTGTACCTAAGTACAGTTATTGAGAAATATACTTAGTTACTTTAGACCACTGCTAATAACATGCATTAGCACTTTACGCTCACTCCATCATAAACAGCACAGTCAGCTCAGAAACACCTAGTAAGTAAACATTTTATTGACCTAAAACATGCACATATGGCTGATAGAAAAATCATCATTTGTTGAAAAGAAACAAAAGGAATGTTGAAATGAATGGAACTACAACATACATGGCCAAATATTCAAATCCCTTTTGAGTTGTTCGACTGCCATGAGAGAACTTGGGCTGTGACAGACGCCTGCCTGGAGCCTGGTAGTGCTTGGACTTAAAGAAAATACTTCAGGTTTTGTGATGTGACGTTAACAAAGTGCATGGGCAGTTTTAATGTAATGTACCGGTGTTACCTGATGAGCAGCTGCTTACTGTGGACACGTTATACAGCAGTTATTAACACATGTTCAAAAAGGCCAGGATTAGCTTCTTTTTTTTTTTACTTCTTTACATCACACGTCTGTAGTGACTCAGCGTTTCACAGAGTCAATCATCGATGGAACTACAGTATGAAAATGAAACAGACCCACTGCATATACAATACAAAACGATTACAATATCTTGTATAAAAGATAAGTTTATACATATGTATGCACACATGCTCACGTTTGATACATACTGTACAGTTTGTATGTGTGCACCGTTCTAGTCTAACACACATAAAGACACACACTCACGCACGCACGCACACACACACACACACACACACACACACACACGAACATACATACATACATACAAGTGTCTATTTGGCTGCACTTTTCAGTCCCTCCTGCTGAAGCATTGACCTTCTGTTTCTCCAGAAGGCGTGTCTGTTCGCTCTGTAGAAAGAAAGACGGGAGCAATTCCAACACTGTCCTCCCGGGGGTCTGTAAAGTCGTTAGGTCGTCGGAGGCAAACCGCTTTTGTCCCCCCCCCTCGCCTCCTCTTTGGCCCCGGAGCCCGTGCCGTTGACAGTCACCTTCCGAGCGTTGGCGCCCTGTTTGGAGGCGTGGCTGTGCCGCTGAGTGTTGTTGGGCACGGTGGTCCCGTTGGAGCTCTGGAGGGCGGGGGGCAGGTTGTGGGACGCAGGGCTGGACTGGGAGGATGCTCGGGGGGGCTGGGCCGCGGCGGGGGGGCTGTGCACCTTGTCGCTGTGGGAGTCGCTCTCTGACGTGGGGCTGGTGTTGACCCCGTCAGAGTGGCCCTGCGCCGCCTGGGACGCCCTCCTGCGCTTCCTGGTGGGCTTCACCAGATACTGCAGGGGGATGGGGCCAGTCTGCACACAGAGACACACACACACACACACACGGTTAACACTACAGCTTTTATTTTTGATGGGGAACATTTACAGACAGATCTAAGGCTGGATGATTGGGTTAGATTTAACTTTGTCATTTCACAGAGTAACAGGACAACGAAATGCAGTTTGCATCTCAGGAAGAGTGCAGTCAAATGAACATGCATTATGCATGTATATAAATATGATGGATATGAAAAGCTAGTATATCAAGAAGTAGAAATATTGAATATAGGTAGTAGAAATATAGACAGTATAATATTGACACTATAGATATTACTACACTTTAGACACTTTGTATACATAAATGAATAATATAAATACACTATAGAAGGTATAACCAGTATGAACATTTATTTATTTAGTCATATTAATTTAACCTGTTTTTATACAATATTCCATCATTGGATTCTAAAAATACATAAATGTACTGACATGTGCCTTTGTTATCATGATGGGGTGTTTTTAAGTTGGCATGTATGAGTTCTATACCAATAGTCAGTGTTTTAGGCAGTATGTAGAAACAGAAATGAGTTCCATCATGGAAGCTAAGCAATGTTCGGCTAGGTATGACAGCAGTATACAAATATATTTTAGACATTACATTTGAATAATAAATATCAGTTTAAGTCTACAGCCAAATCCATGCCGTCATCCATGCTCTCTTTAAAGCCACCAGACTCCATTGACACAAACAGTCAATTGACCTCAGGAGTTTCAGGTCTATCTGTGCCTGGATCAGTTAGTTAGTGTTATTGTGAGACTTTGGTGTATTAAAAGAGTTAGTGAGGATACAGCAAAGACACACAGGAACACAAAACAAACAACCAGTAGAGGCAGCAGTAGTCCGGCAAATTCTATTACTGCAAGTAAAACTGACTGGTTTTGTGAATGGAGTCTGGGGCTTTGAAGAGAACATAAAACAACAGCTTGAGTTCTCTGTTTGAATGCGCTGACAGACAGCAAGGTAAAGCAGCAAAGATCATCTAAATATAGGTGGGCTTTTCTTTACTTGTTTATTTATTTAAAGGACAGTGCACATTAATCCACATTGCTGTAAATGAGCCAGTATTAGCCAGCAGGCTAATTTTCAACTGTTGTCCTTGGCAAGATGTTAAATAACCACAACAAGACTAGAGAAATAAAAACATAATTAAATAGAGTACAGCAGACAACAGCAGTACAACAGTAAATAGGAACAGACAAACATGCAAACAGATGAAATACTATCATACTATGATACAGTTAAAAGTGTTCACATTTTTGATAGCTTAAAAGCCAGTTCTTATGATAGTGGTTAAATGTATGATAGGAGGTGTTGATTCCCTCACAGAGAAACAGTGTTTGCCAAAGGAGCTGGACCTAAGAAGGACTGTACAGTCCCCTCTTAGGGCAGAACTTGTGGTTCTGCTGTTTGAATTGTTCTGCTATATGAAAGTGCAGAGTGGTGGTGGGGGTGCCTTGCCCTTTAGAATCTTAAAAATGAGACCTGCATCAGTGTGTTTTAAAAGATGTTCCCAGCTGAGCAGGTTATGTTTGTCCATGATTTTGCAATGGTGGTATAGCTTAGGTTTTCTGTCCAACACTTTGAGAGCTTGTTTGTAAAGTGACAGGATAGGCCTTCATGTTGTGCTATTCGCCTGGGTCCAGCTGCTCATACAGTATGTTAGGTGGGGAAGGATCATGGCAGTCATATAGAGTTTTGCTACAGGTGTTGTCAAACAGTTCCTTATATATCTAAAGTTTGCTAGATTGTATTTAGTTATTTGCATTACCTTTAAGGTGGCTACAATCCACAGCAGTACAACGCTTAGCTTCTGTGCTATCACTCCAGTCTGCTTTACCAAACTGCAATCTGCTGTAGGTATCTAAGGGCAACACTTTAGATACTTTTAGACTTTAGAAAATCCAAACCATCCCTTAAATATGGACAATGTACTTTACTTTGACTCCATCCCACATACATCTGACGCACCATGGATCAATCCTCAGCAGAAAATAGTCCCCAACAAATGTGAGCTCCTCCAGTTTAAGTCATGTTTGCCAAAAACTACAGTGTGCTACTGTTGGAGGAAACTACATGTATACAAATGAGAAATATTGTGAACAGTCAATAATAACAGGCCTGGGCTGAAATCCACAGAGAGGGTGGTGGAGAGGATTTGTCTTTTAATGGCATTTGTTGGTGATATACAAATGTATTAAATATCACCAGCATCAATCTTAACGTCAACATATCACAGTTGTTTCTGTTCAATCGAATTGACAAAGAGTTGGATGCAAGCGGGTTTCATTTTATGACATAGGTCTCAGTTAAACCATCATAACCTGTTCAGCCCCGAGCCTGTTTTTCAGGTCTCAGGCTCGAAAATGACATTCCCAGAACAAATGACCATATCTTCCCTTCTAAAAGGGTTACATTAATAATCTTTTTTCTCAAAGTAATGATAAACCTGTGAGTTGGATGTAGAAAAGTCAGAATCAATATAGATGTTTTTTATTTTAAAGTAAATTCAGATTGAACATAAAATGTAACTTATAGTGTCCGTCCAAAAAAAAAAATTACTTATAGTGAAAACCACCCTTGAATTTACACACGGCATCTATTACACGTCTGTCCGTCTTGGGAGAGGGATCCCTCCTCTGTTGCTCTCCCTGAGGTTTCTCC